AAAGAGCAGAGTGAGATTATCAGTGAATAACTGCTTTTGATCGATTCATTCCTCAAAAAAGCTCACCGTATGACTTCAGAAGGCTTAATAAAAGTCACTTTTATGGTACTTTAGTGATGTTTATTTTGTAATTTTGGACCCATTCACATTCATTATATAGGAAACAGTGGCCAGGATATCCTTATATTCTCCCGATTTGGAACAGCATAAGCATAAAAAAAGGAAATATGAGCATTAAAATTAGGTGTCTGAACCAATCACTGTCTGTTCGATGTCAAATGCTGAGCTGAATTAGTGATTGCAGACCCAATTTGACAAGGTTTTTGAATGGAACCGAACTATAATTAGAAGTTAATTAAACTGCATGAGAAAGAGACATAATCACAATTCATTCCTGATGGTTAATAATTCAATTCTGAAATTCAATAAAATATTTTTAGATAGATTATAGTGAGATGGTGCTTAAAACCATATTTGTTGGATCAAGCATTCTTCCAAGATATTGTCCATGTATCCTTAACATAACTTTACAATGGACAGTCTATGACTGCAGTCAAAAGAAATGGCAATTACAAATGTAATAAATATAAATAGGTTGATAAATGTATAGTGTTAGACTTGTAAAGAAATATAAAGTGTAATGGCTGTATATAAATATCCTTACTCCAGTCTTCAGTGTCACATGATCCTTCAGAAATCATTCTAATATGCCGATTTGCTGCTCAAGAAACATTTCTGATTATTATCAATGTAGAAAACACAATTTAGAATTTTTCAAAGTAGTTTATGTGTTTGTAAATTCTATAAACTGTATATGCCTTTTATATCCCCAGTATTTGTGTGTTATGTATATATTTTGTCCTAATAATTCTGATTTCCAAATTGGAAAACTATTGATTTTTTATTGTGTGTTGTCATGTGAACATGTTGGCATCAAGGGAGACGGATGCGATTAGTTATAAACACTCACTTTTAAACAAATGAAATGCATCATTGGCCCCAAAATAATACATGACTGTATATTTGCAGAAACAGGTGTAAATGATCTGTGATCTGTAAATCATCCTTTCTGGTTCCACAGAACAGGAAAGTGATTAGAATCTGTAACAGCATGAAATATTGATGAACAGAAAATGTAGGTGACAGCTGCCATTTATTTTATAACATTACAGACTACACGCTACAATTAAGTTCATTCAGTTCTAGAGAAGCTGAGATCTGCATTGACCCATGAAGCGCATTGACTATATCCCCAAATCACTTAACAAAAGAGTGACAGGGCAGGTTAGTCCATCTTGACAGATAAATGCCCCTCAATCACCCGCTTCTTCCGCCCCAGGAGCCTCTGATCTGGATAATCCTGTGCTGTTCAGGTGGAATTATTAAACGCCTTCCCTACAGGCTGCCCATTTCGCCACACTCACCTGTGCCATGGAAATGGCACTGACCACACATAAAGATTTCAGAAGCACCTCAGGTAGATTGAGCTCCTGACAGAGAGAAAACTGTGCTACTGTTCACAAACACACATGCATACAAATACCAATGAATTATATAAGGTTAATTGTCACTCAACATCACAGATTGATAAATCTCTTGATTTTTTTTTTCTCTTGGAAAGTCATAGAAATGCTATTGTGGATTTTTCTTTGGCTATTGGGAGAAAGAACACCAAAAATATATAGCCTATTTGTAGTCATTTCCATTCCCCACCATAGACGTATACTCAACTATGACGATTTCCACTTCTGAGAACCCTAAAAATGTGAAAAAGGTCTTGGAGACATTGCAAATATGGCTGAGTGAGCTTCCATTTAATCTCTAAGGAAAATGGTGTGAATTTATCGTAGGAGAGATTCCTTATGACAAAAATGTTGTGTTTTTTACTCAGTTTCCACTTGAACCTTCCTTTGAGGCTTTTTAAACATTAAAAGCTCAATCTCTCAAAATAATAATGTTCTGGTCTTGCTAAATCTCCATGTCACTTGGGGTCCTTTAGTTTTCCACTCGACATTGATGCATGTAGGTCTGTCAACGAGGCCACACACTGCGTTTCATATTGACTGAACATCTATTCAATTTTGCTTAAGTGCATCTGGCTTCTCTGTGTCTTCTACTCAATACAAGAGGCCGATAATGCAGCGGGACATTAAATGTTCTTCTGTTCTTAGAAGAAAACATATGGAGTATGCTTTGATCATGAGAATCAGACCTCATTCTCTGGTTGTCATGATGGAGAACCAAGAGCTCTTCATTTCTGTAAAGTCACACTACGCCTCTGAGTCACAAACAACAAGTTACATTTCCTGTGTTTGCAAGTGACCTTCTTCTCTGGTTTCATTGAGATAAATGTGAAAAGGCCAGTAAATGTGACATGACATTGGAAAGCAGATCATCTTGTGATAAACATTGTACTCATGTACGTCTGCAGAGGATATGTCTAGTGAAAATTTCAGCCTGATTCTAATATCTGTTTTTATTTTGAACGTAACTTTGTATTGTGACTAAATTAAGTCAATCTTTTCCAAAAGGATTGTTATATGCCAATGACAGATGCTGAGCTTTATCCAAATTTAGACAACTGTTCAGCATAATTATGATTATCTGTAATTCCCAAACCTACAGTAATTTAGTTTGGAGAGCACTTCTGATGACTGTATGCACAGAATAGCACCAAACGGTTTCCCATGACGTATTCTTTTCAAAGACAGAAAGCAAACCACCCTTATTTAATTTCAACATCACTAAAACAATTATTGATTGGCTTGACCTTTGCCCTTTAGCTAATTAAATTCATATGAAGAGGTTTGTCAAACTACACAGCCAAACAACCTTTTCACCTGTAATTGTCTGTCAATGCAGCTATTGATTAAGATGTCCACAGGCTTTCTCTTGTGTAATCAGTTTCCTTTTGTGTTGATCCATTAACTCAAAAGATGTCTGAGGACGCACAGAATCTTAGTCTTGCTAACTGATATACCTAAACATCAGACTGGATTTTCAGACATAGTATTTGTTTTACTAAAACATTTGCAATAAAACAATACTCTCTCACTTATGTGTTTTTGTCTCTTTTTTTTTTACTTTTTGTTTCTATATTTCTATCATGACAAATCGGTGAGAGTTTAGCACGGTAATATACATGACGATGTTAATGTGTTTGGTCTTGGTGGAATAGATCTGCTAAACTGATGCAGCAGCAGCAGAGCAAGTACTGAGGCTTGCTACTGCCAATACATCCACAGACATGTGAGCATGTAAGAAACACTGTATAACATATATATAATAATTACATATATAAAATTAATGTACAGCAGCAGATCTATACAGGTGGAGCTGGGGAAGGTGGAGGGTTTCTGAAGTGCGCTGCAACTGCTAAAGCAAACACTAGCCAAGTGTTTCAGTGTTGAGCAGCAAGCTCATTGGCTGCTAATGCAATAGAAACCAATCGGCTCCACCATGTGAAAAATTATGTCAGTATATCTAAAGTTTCATAAAACAATATTATTTATATATATGTGTATATATATATATATATATATA